GTGTAAGTTCTGTGTGTCTGAATAAAATAGCTGATTATGAATGTTTCATCTAAAATTCTGATAATAAGTAGATTGACTTCTTTCATACAAGGAGTTGTTCTTATATTAACATTGATATCTTTGAATGACTGAGGTTTAAACTTCCGATAGTTTCAGTAAGCAAAATTGTATGTATTTTATATAGATATAGCTATAGATGTGTGACTTACTGCTTCAGGATTTTCTCCAGCTTTTCAGATACTCCTATCTGTTGTTTCTGGATGCCTTTACCCTACTACATGATTTTAAACAAGAAAACCTATCATGTTATGAACTGTGGTGGGCTGATCTTGAGGTGATTCTTTCTCTTCAGAATTGCCTACACAGTTCTTCACTTGGGTTTAAGCTGCTTGCTCTGGGTAGGAACTTGGAACCAAAGTGAAGAGGCATTTTGTCCTGCGTGGACTTTTTTGTTTGTTTCTTTTAATCTTGTACTTTTGTACTCATCGATTGCTTTTGACCTTGAATAAATTGAAAGCCGGTAAGATGTGCATGTGTTGTGACGCTAATGTATTTTTGTTCTCCGACTTAGTGTCTTTATGTGTCAAAATACTGCAACCAGTTGATAGAATAATTTCTAACTTTTTTTTTTCCCCTTTCAAAAGAGCTTGTGTTTCATGCTGGTGGTCTGAATTGTTATGATGCTGTGACTTGGTGTGCTGCTTCTAACTTCCTCTTGAGGTTAACTCAAACTCCTTCCATCTGTTTCTTTGTTTCATGTATGCCTTTGTGCTTGCTCCAGATATTTGGAAATATCTTTAAAAACTAGGTGCTTGTGTGTGAAAGGACTGCCTTGTATAGCTTAATTCTTCTGTTCTTGTTGCCTTTTTCTCATCTTAGTTTTTCTGGAAACAGTATTAAAGGAATTCCATTTTCTTGGCTTACACTTGTCACCTCCTGTTCTGTCTGAAATGCTTGAGAAGGAACCTCTTTATTAATCTGCTAGAGAGGTATTTCAATGAGGGAAGGATGTTGAGCAAGCAGTGAAGTAGCCTAGGCAGCTACAGATCCTTTGAGAAGCTCTCTGACGGGAATGATTCAAGCCTGGAATGAACAAATGCATAGCAACAGTGTTTATTTTATTTTGATATTCAAAAGGGCCAAGAGTTGCACGAGTGTTTGCAATATATTTGCCGTGTGTTGACAGTATCTAGGAACAGATCAAAAACTAGTCTGAGACTTCATATTCCAGCCCAGGACCTGTGAGCCACCAACACTCAGTCAGCGTTATATAGGCATGCAAATCTTGCTCAGGGCTACCAGTGCTCTGTGCTGAGAGGATTTATAGAAGAAATAGTAAGAAAATGAACCATATAAGGTCCATGCTAGTCTGATTTCTCATGTCTGCTGTTAATATTGTTAAGTCAGGGTTAGACTGAAGGTGTTAGGGGAGTCAGCTGAATGAATCTTGAGCCCCATTAAAACTGGCTCTGCTCTTAAACAAGAGGAGAAGGTTGCATTAGGATGGTCGGTCTTTCCACAGAGTCATTCCTTTATGGTTGTCCTTAGCTAGATCTTTCTGCCAGTGTGCTTTTTGTTGGGTTAATTTTTAAAACTTTATAATCTTAAGCTTTTTGTTACGTTGATAGTGCAACTGAGTGAAGTTGATTATTCCACCTACTCTTTGCCCAGCTGCAACTGAGCGATTAACATTTTAAGCCAACAATCTACACTTTCAATCTAAACTGTTGCTATGTTTATACATCACAGATTGCTCTCCGTTGACTTGGGAATGCAATGAGGAAGAACAATCTAAGTGCACTGAATCTAAAATTAACTTTGCACCTGGGAGCTGGATTTGTAAAGCACTGTGCAGTGTGTTCAAGAAAAAAAGTATTTAGACCAGATAGTAAAACATTTTCTAGATTTAAAGGCCTGACTTTGCTTTGTTGTTGTCCTGTGAGACGGGAACAACAGCGCTAGCTTAGGACTTGCAGAGCTGCGCTTTGGATGCTGCTACTGCTGTGTAGAGCAGCTATGTGGCATTAGCATCCTGCACCTTGGTGAAACAGGGTTTAGTGCATCAGTCCGTGAGGTTCTTGAGAAAAAAATCTGGGATGGCTTCTGGGCTGTCCTATATGGCTCTCCTATAGTAGGCATATGGTGTGGTGGTGGAGCTTTTTGGCGCAAGCACTACTAGATCATCTGTATTTCCAGCTGTGGAAGGAAGCAAAATAACTGTGGGTGGTACAGAAGCACAAGTCAGAGTGGGATAGGGGTACAGCAGTTTGCTGTTGTCTGGCAAAACTATATCCTTGCAGCAGTACTCTGTCTTGATATGGACTGAAGGTGCTGGTAGATCAAAAATAGCTGCTGGCAAGGCTATAGCCTGAAGCCTGGACTGTAAGGATGTTGTGACCCTTCTCAGATGTGCACCAGGAATATGCCCTAATGCCTTAGATAAGTATTACTCCACTTGGTTATAGTATGTCCTGGACTAAAATTTGCATTCAGGATCTGGTGTCTGGGTAAGTCATGCAGAACATCTAAGTCAAGAGTCACCCTTTTGAAAGAGCTGAAGACTGTATTTATGTTGGCTTAAAATTTTGGTTTTTTTCCAGGCAGGCCTGTGGCAGGTATGGGGAAGGGATTGTCATAGCTATGTGTGACACAGGCTTGCCGTAGAGCGCGTGTGCTGGGTGCAAGCTGCTGCTCGGGTCTAGGGTAGGTTCTGCTGGATCTGCAAACCTGGATATAAGCGCTGTTTTGTTTCTGGGATGCTAGATGAGCCTGCTCTACACCAGGCTGAACATGACGGAAAGGTACATTTTAGAGCTGCTTTGAGCTGTATAACCGAGATCCCACAGTAGTATAGTGCAATAACTTAGGGCAAGAGGAGTAGTTGCATGCCTGCTGAAGGCCTTTAGCAGAGCAATTAGGAGAGCTTGTAAGATGGTTCCTTAGCCTATGTAGTGTTGTGCATTGGGAGACTGCTCTTTAGTGCAAGTTCGGCTGCCAGTGTTTCTGGTACTGATATGGCCAAAACCAAGTCCCTCAAGATAACCTAAAATCCTCCTTCTAGTTCCATGTTGCAAGTGATGATTCCTATTGACTGGCGTGTAATAGAATTCTAATGAGATATCATGGCAAGGTATTAAACAGTCTTTTTGATGCTAGCAAGGTGGCTTTGTTTAAATCTAAATCCTCTTACGAGAAGGCTGTCAGCAAATGTGAGAAAATGGAGAGGAGTGCTAAAGACAAAGAGTTAATGTGAGGGATGTGATCTAAATTTTTAACTCCTAATGGGTAAAGACGTAAGTAAAAAGTTGAAAGCGGAAATAATGATTTGGGATGATAGCTGTAGTAGAACTGAGAGAGATGGACATGAACTATGAAGGTTAAATAAATAAATAATTTTTAAAAAATCTTAGATTGACTATTTAAGTGCTGTAGCAGGCTATGAAGTGGCATCTCAACTGGAGGCCTGTTATTTGGCTATCCAGGAGTAGGAAAGGCAGGGGAAAGATGGGGATGGGTCCTAAACAAGTAGATCACCTCTGCCCTTGTCAGAGGTGGGCTGGGTGGTGTAATAGCTCTCTTCAATCTTTAACTTTTGTGTTCCTGTAAAACAAACAAACAAAAACCTTATTCTTGTTCTCAATGCCATTGCTGGCTCCAGATGTTCCTGGAACGATGGTTATTGCTTTAGTTCTGACCTTTAGAAGAGAAGGGCTGCCTATGTGTATGTTAGAAAAAGGTATGAGCATAATACGCATGCACACGTGTAAATGTAAGTGCAGAATATCCTACAGCATATGCCTCTTAGTTGTTAGATCTTCAGATTCAGTCCTTTATGACTTGAAATGCTTCTTATAACAGAAACAAGTTAGTGCCAGAACTGCTAATAATGGCTTTCTGGAGTGAAAGGAACTAAAACTTTACAGATATTTTGCCATCTATAACTTTCTAAGTCCTTCTAGAGTTAGGAGGCTAAATTGCATTTGGTGGTTGTTTTATTGTCATGGTTTTCAAGGCACAAGACTTGATCTGCTTTTTTTTGTTGTGAAACTCAAAAGCAATTCCGATCTGTGTTTGGTGGTAGTGGCCGTTCACAGGTGTTTTTCAAACCATCCAGAATTAGTGTAGTGTGCAGTCTCTTTAATTTTGTATTCATAAGTTGAACCATTGAGGTGTTTTCAGAAGTAGGTTCCACTTATGCCTTTTTTTTTTTTCGTCTTTGAAAAAGATATACAGCAGGGTTTAAATGGCTTGCAACCCTTTGAAGTGAATTAAAATTCATTTTAGGAGAGACATTACTTTATGAACTGACGAGAACCTCACAACTTTCTGCAGAGAGGTTGAAAGCTGTACAAGGCCAGTCTGGGGCTTTGGCCGCCCATGAATTAATCAACAGGCTGGTAAGAAAATTCTGTATGTTTGGGTTTCCCAGGACACTTGTGCTGCTTTACAGCTGAAAAATCCAGTCTGGGCAGGAAAAGAGGGCCTCAAACATCTGAGTTGTTTATTGCATGAGCTGAAGTGCAGGAGATGGAGCAGTGCCAGTTTTTGCATATGGACGACAAGCCTACTGGGTTCAGTCTGCTGTGGCTGGGAGTTATCTGGCACACACAGCAGGTCCGACAACCAGAGCGCACGTGCACCAAGCTTGACACATCTTGGTTGTCTGTGAATGTAGAGGGTATCTGTGCAAGTTTGCAGGGGAATCTTGGAAGCAAGTGTGGGAGTGGTAGGTGGTGTCTCAGAGGTCACTGGAAAGACAGCATCGGAAAACCCGTGTTGATACTGTCCTCTCGCATGTTTGGACAGCAGTTTTTCCCCTTCTCTAGCGGATTTGATCCCAACCTTGTCTGTTATTGCTAAACACTAACCAAAGGAAGTCTAGCACTTACCTCTGTTTGGCTTTTATTGCAGTCATTAATCAATGAAGACCACTGTATTGTGAATGCCGTATCTGAATACGTGTAGCTTAATATCTCTCTCCTTATCTCTTCCTTTCTCAGTACCAGAAATTGCCCTTGCAAAATGAGCCAGCTTCCTCCGAAGAGTCCTTTGGCATCCCCGGTGTCAGAGGGCACGAATTCCACGGTAGAGTCTTTGGACAACTTGTCAATGGACAGTTTTTGGCTGGAAGTAGAGAACATTAAACAGAGCGCTGAAGCCGAGCAAGAGGAATGCAGCCTTGCAGATGTCAAAACACAAGAGGGTAGGTTGCCAAAAATGTCGGGAGTGAGGGGAGGAAGATGAACATCTGAGAAAACTTGCTTATGCACCTGAACGATTTAGAAGCATGTTGGAATATGGTTAGAATATTACCGGTCGAATCGGAGATATATATTTTTTTTTTTTCATTGGGTGGATGCCCTGCAGAAGGGGAGTGCTGGCCTGGCCTGGTTTCACCTTCTGAAACAAAGCTGACTAAAGGTCAGTCAGGAGTACATCCAGGGCTGCAGATTTTTTCAAACAGCCCCCACTAAGTGTGGGGCTCTCACTCCCCATGCAGGTGGCTGTACGGTAAACACGCTGTGATAGCTGATGGTGTTTTGGAAGGCTTGTTTCTGTACGTGGTTCTGAGACTTCATCAGAGTGGCTTTTATGAGAGCTGCTTTTGTGGAAAGCAAACTTTTCCCCTTCCAATTCACTATTCAAGAAACCATAATAAACATCCAGAATGAGTCCATCCACACAAGGTTTTTCTTATATACCTCCTTTTTTTTTCTCTTTCTTTCTTTTGAAGACTGCTTCATATGCATGGGGTGTTTCTAATGGGCTTTCGGTAGCGCTGATGTTATCCAGTATTTGGAATAACTGGAACCTGGACCGATTGCCTTTTGATATGGGAGGTACAACATCCTGGGGTGCTGGAGGGATGATAAACTGTGATAAGCGCCCAGCGATCCCGCAGACCGGGATCACACGTTTTCCGGGTCCATTTTGAGGAATGTGATTTAGTTGGCTGTACATCCTCTTGAACGGTCAGGTTTTTGCAGCCCGTACAGCCTATAGCTGTTGTGCTGGCCTGATATTGAGAAGGATCCAGGTATGTAATGGGGAAATGTTTGAGTGGAAGTCCCAGTGTGCTGCCATGCTTGGGAAGGGTAAATAGCTATCCCGGGTGCACAGAGTGGGCTTTGGAGAGCGGGTTGGGAAGATCATAATCCATGTCTGCCATAGTAGGCAAGACACGGTAAACATTAAGGTCTGCTGTTAGAATCTCTGCATAAAGGATGTAAGCTTGTTTTTTAGAACTGGAAGAGATGCAAAAGTGACTCAGAAAATAAGTGCACCAGGAAGGAGACTCTGGAAAAGAGGCCATGCCATGAGATGAAAGGCTGTCTGGGATATCCGAAACACTGATATGCTAGAGGCAATTCGATTACTGTGTGTAAGCAGGGACACAAGGAAAAGTGTCTTTTAATGCTATGTATTAATCTAGTAGGCAAGAGCTGACTGTTTAATTGGCCACTGAAACCAGACAGACTTGAAATAATGCTCTGAGTGGCGAAGCCTTCTCGGCAGGCTGGGGAAGGAGGTGCGGCACGCTCAGCCTCCTGGTGCCTTCTGCGAAGGAGTTTAGTCAAATAAGTGTTGTGCTGGAAGCATAAGTAGAGAGGGGAAACTTCAGATGGTGTGGATAAAGGAAGCTGGACTTGGCTGGTGCCTTTTGGCTTTCATGTCTCTGCAATTTATGGTTGGAGCACCGCGAGGTGGTAATGCAGCACAGAGGCTTCAGGGCTCCTCGGAGCCGAAGGCACCATCGCTCTTCTCAAGCCTGAGAAGGGGCACTTGGGCTAACAGCTCTGTCTGGAGACGACGTGGCTCAACCTGACGAATAGCTGATTGTAATCGCAGTGCAGGGACAGCGTGGAGGCTACGTGTAGATAAGGCACTGCAAAAACGCTGACCCAGTTGGAGAATGCTGGTCTCCTGTGCAAGCCCTGGGTAAGGGGTGGCGTAATGGGAAGCTGCTTGTGACCTGGTGTTAGTGGGAGGCCAGCGTGTAACTTTGCAGAGGAACTGGGTCAGCAGAAAGGCGCTGATGATACTTGTGACCTCACTAACAGTTGAAGGGGGCCAGAAGGTAGCTTTTCCCTGAAACAGGAGCAGCAATGTCCTTTCTTTGCTGTCTGCTGTTTATCCAGCTCTCTCCAAGGTCTGACTCTACAGCAGACTGATAACGTATGCATTCTGTGCGGTAGTGCCACTGAAATATCTGCTAGCACCCTTGTAGCATGTAATCGTGTCTGAGAAGCGTCTGCAAAGAGTGATTCTTCTCTGCCTTCAAAAACTATGTAGGAAGTTGTGCTTAACGTTTAGTCTGAAATTGTAGGATGCTTAGCTGTCCTTTAGCTTTTTTGAAACTAAATGCTTTATTATGAATGCTATTTTTGTCTAGCTTACATTTCAACTAAGTTTTTGGAACTGGTGTTCTTTCGTTTTGCAAATTTATTCCTAATTGAGTCCTCCTGAAATGCTGCTTGTCTGGAACTCACAAGGCAAATCTTAGCAGCTCTCCAGGCTTAAACCTGCAGCTCAGCTTCTGTGGACCTCTCAGTTCTGACCTGTTTCTCTCCGATTTCCCCCTTCTCCCCATAAATAACCTATTTTGCTGGTTTCCTTTTGCATTACTGGCAAACATAACTGGGCCAAAAATATTAAATAGAGGAATTAAAATCTGGTGTTTTGGCATCAGATGGGGCAGTAGGCTCACACGGATGTCCGATTTAGGGCCTGCTGTTCAGTATTGTGTACTAGATTAGTTTCCTGTTATGACTGGAATTGGGTATTTTCAAAATTTGCAAGCAATACACTTAACTTCCTTTAGTTCCCAAAGACAAAATAAACCAGAAGCCTTCTGCGCGCTGTGCTGCTGTGAAACCATGGATGTAGGACAAACAGCTGTGCAGTGAGGAGTCATGAACGGGACCACGAGTGCGTGGGCAGCTGTAACCACGCGAGCAGTACCGGGGGATGCTCTTATCTGTTAGCTTCTGTAGAACCAGACATGGGGAGTGACCAAAACTAAAGACCATGTAGGAAAGCTGTCCAGTTTGCTAGAAGATGTTAAAGGAAATACTTGACTTCAAGTCCAGCTCTGTTTATTGTGGTGTGATGCTGAAAAAAGTTCTGTTTCATTACAGCACCTAAGAACACGAAGAGCATGCTCTGAAGGCTGAAGAGCATTTTAATGGAATCACAATATGTTTTTGCAAGTTGCATGAACACAGAAGTTTCCCCAGAAAAATTAAATTATTTAATCTCTCAAGAAGAGCTGCATGGCTTTTTTATTATTGATGCAGCAATAATAAAACTTTGCCTGAGCAGCTGTGACAACTGAGGAGATAGCAGTTTGCATAGGAAAGGAGGAGCGGGAACGAACTGTTCTGTTTCAGTCAGTTCAGTTGTGATTTTTCTTTTTCCTAGTATAACCTTTGGTAGAGCTATGCTGGAGCTGCCTGCAGTGAATGAATGTGGTACGTAGAATTGAAAAGATAAAGGCTTTGTGGTGTTCACTGTATTAAAGTTGAAGCCACCTGCTAAATTACTTCTTTTATCCTTGGATTTCAAGTAGCTGCCTTGCTCAGGGCACTTTCTCACTTGCACAAAGGGTGCACCCCATAAGGAAAAAATTGTCTTCTGTGTTTGCAGTGCAGATTTATATACATTGAAGAATGAAGTGGAATTGAGATTGTTTGAGTAATGCTGCTGTACTGTCTCCAGGCTTCTCGCACTTCATTCTGGAACGGGAATGGTCTTTAATTTTAGTGATGTTTTGAACAGGCACAGACATAAAGCGAATGCATGGAGTAAGAATAACTTTTTTGCTTTTGTCAAATGACCGTATGGATACCAATCCACTTAAAAAGGTAAAGAATAGGGATGGTGCATACAAATAGTTCTGCAAGTATATTAAATAAAATACATTTGAATCTACCAGATCAGTGTCTGGGTATTTAAACAAAAAAAAGTTGTTGATACATAGGCATGCAGATAGATAAATAAAAATTAAAAGAAATAGCCAAATAATTGGGAAAAGTACAAAAGCCAAATGTGCAGTGTTGTATGTTGTGGCTTCCCACAGACCTTTTGTCCCTTCTCAAAGATGTCGGAGGATCAGGTGCGCTGCAGAGGGAGGCAGTGCCATTCGTTCTGGGTTTGCTGTGCACTATTGCCTGCTGCCACAGCTCCTCTTTGCACAGGCAGTCCATATAAAAGCAGATTTAAGCAAGTGCACCTGACTTTCCTCACATGTCCTGTGAAAGCGCTCACTGGGTTCAGTTCCTGTTGCAATCTTTGTGCTAAATATCGTGCAGAGTCACCCTTGTGCCCAGCTTCTGCCCAGCTTCTGAGGGAGCCTAGGTTCCTGGCAATATCCGTGCCTCCGTAGTTTTTTGTTCTCTTTTTCTTCACCTGGGGTGAGGAGAAAGGAGTATGTGGGCAGTTGTAGCTGCCTAAAGTGCTGTCTCTCCCCTGATTTCCCCCTGATACCCAGATGGGTACCTGGGAATAGGGCTAAGATTTTGAGAATAGCCGTGGCTTCCTAAAAAAGATGCGGCTCCCTTTCAGTGATGTCCCGTTGCGGCCCCAGAAAGGGGGTGGCTCAGGCTTCTGGTTTCCTGCCTGTGAAGTGTTTCAAGCACTCAAATTGCTGTTACCCTTTCTCTTCTCACTCGCCCTTCTCATCCCTTGCCTCGCAGAGGGAGAAGCTGAAGCCGAGTGGCTCCAGGACGCGGGTCTGTCCGACCTCCTCGGGGACCGCGCCTCAGGAAACGACAACGTGCTGCTCTCCACCCTGACCAAGACCCAGGCTGCTGCTGTGCAGCGGCGGTTGGATACCTACTCCCGGTCTCGGAGGAGGAAGAACAAGCATCCTGTGCGTGATGTCCGAGACATTTTTGGAGTGGTCAACTCTGAGGTATGTTGATTTAGTGGGATCTTCTGAAGGACTGTTGCATTGTGGTAGCTGACTGGCTTTCTGGGTCTAGGGCTACTTTCATTTCCAAATAGACGACTTCATCTTTTGAGCTGAGCTGAGATTGTAGAAATTCTGCATCCAGGTTGCAGCGTTGAGAAGTTGCTACAAAACCTGCAGATCCATAAGCTTCCTAGAGACTGCTGGAAGACCTCTGTATAGTGCCTACAGCACTGCAGCCTCATAGGGCACTGGTATCGTTTGGAGCCCTCTTGTGTTTTCTTTATTCTCGTGACATGTTAAATCATTACTAACCAAAAAAAGAGAGAGCACTTCATAAGTTCCGTTCTGGTAAGCTGATCTTGTACAGCTGGTAATTCTAGAAAAAGAATAGCCGCTGCCTTTTGTTTTGCTAGAGAATACTTGACCGTTAACTTTTCAGCTGCTTTCCTGCTGTGCTGCTCCTCTTTTGGTTGTGACCACAAGGTAGAGTATCCTTATTTTTTCAAGGGGCTGCTGGGAAGTATCCCAATCAGGGCTCCTTGTGACTTTCTCTACTCGGTCAAGTGTCTGGTTGGAAGGTATTGAGCTTAGCCAAGATCTACCTTTTTCAGTAGCATGGGACCCTTGCTGCTACCAGAACTGAATACTCCTTTTCCTCAGCCTGAGTGTCTTTGAAACATCTTTTACTATAATGAGATGAATTATACCCAAATGATCCCTTGCATGCCTTAAGGGAATGACGCTACCAGTCTGCAACATCACTGGAAACTGCTGTGGTCGTGTTCTTTGTAACTGCCCGGTGCTGAGGTGCAGATTTCTTCCTTACTGTGAATTGCACTGAAACAGAGTCGTGGTTGATTTGCTTTTGTAGAGGATTGTTTGCACGCCTGCACAAATGGGTGACAAAAAGATGACATTTCTGAAAGCAATAATGCTGCGAGCTTGTCTTAAGTGCCTCAACTGAAATTCATCAAGTTTTTAAACTTGAAGATTAAACACAAACCTGTTATATATCTTAAAATAATTTTACTTTCTACTGCATAGGAATGGAGATTTTTAAGCTCTTAATCTTATGTGAACACTCACTAGGTCACTAATATTTGTATTTGATAATTTGCATTTGATAAGCAACTGAAATCAAATCTGATGTTTTAAAGTGGCATTTTGGTGTAATGAAGGCATGTACAAAGATGCTAAAGCTGCCTGTTTAAATTGCCATAATTTAACTGGAAGTGAAACATTTTCCTCACTTCTTATTTTGGGCAAGTTCACCGGACTCTTTTCCAATAGCTCTACTGGAATTATTCATATTTCCTTCGGCTTAATTTTTTTTTAAAGCTTTGCAGTTGCCTCTGAGATCCACAGTTTCAGTGGAGGCCACTGAAACAAAAAACAGCGTTGTTTTTTTTCCCCTCTCTTTTTAGTGAAAGTAAGAAAATGTATTTTATATTAGTCTATTTGACTGTTTGTTCCTTCTTTGCTGAGGGCCATGAGCTTAACCTCTGTATTCCTCATGTGTCTTTTACAGTGTACACAAGGGGTGGTGTTTGCCCTCTTTATTTCATGGGAAGTGACTGACGCTCAGCTTAGGCAAATGGAAAGTGATTTCTACGTAAAATGGTAAACTTCTGAGACGTTAGTGCCTACATCCAGTGTCATAACCTGAGCAGAAGTCGTCCTTTACCTTTGAGTAATTCCTGGAGCAATCCCAGAGGGAAGCAGGCTTTTTGGTTAATTTTCCATACTGGTTTGCTCTGTCGTCCCAGTTCCAAGCACAATTTTGGAGCTGAAGGACATATTCAGGAACCACATGCCAAAACAGGCCCTGTGTTGCTATAACACTTTTTCGAGGCGTGTAGCAAAACATGATCAATCCCTTATCATGCAAAAGGATATTTGAAATCTCCACTTCGTAAGCAAGGAAACAGAAATACAGAAGGGTTAAGTTGTGGGTTTTTTTCCCCACAGTCCTAGAATTGGAACCCAGATCCAGTATCTGTGCCCCTACTGCTCAGTCAGGTTTTGGGTGCTTCCCACTACTGGCTGCTCTCTCGGTACACTGGGAGCAAAACATTTGAATGGGCTCTACCTATGGAAAAGCTGTGTTCAGCAAATTGAGCTTAAAGCTAATTCAGTTCAGCTGTGACCTGAGTGGAGGCAGTTCAGCCTGTAAGAGTGCAGGCAGTGATGCGTCAGAGTAATTTGGATTTTTATTTCCGTCGGTGTTTCAAGATGGATTTGCGGTTCACCTCCTGTCCACCTCTGTCGTGAGCTACTCTCGGGCATCAAAGCTGTTGGCACTTCTGTCAGAATCTTTCTACGTACTTCCCCTATATTACTGTTCAGTATGGCCTGTTTGCACAGCAGCTGGATCTGAAGGTGCTCTGGCATTATTCAGTGTATGACATGTGACTAAGCCAGTTGCTAAATGAATTGGTTCTGCTTTCATGGCAAGCTCATCCGTTGTGCACCTGCTCTAAAGATGTAGTACGTCTTCTGTGCTGATGAACTGTTTTGTCCATTTGCAATGATTTTGCACAGGTTCCTCTTAACTTTCAGTCCTCAGTCCACAACTCCATGTCATAAGCATGTTCTCGGAAAGTTGCTAACTTTTGGTAATAGAATAAGCTTTCCTATATTCTAACTAGTTCTAGCAAAAGTAAGGTTATTATTAACAGAATTGCCTGCCAAGTGCCTCCTTATATTTTTAAAGATTCATTTCTCTCTCTAGACATGAAGAGGTAGGTTCCTATGAAGCCCGTGAAGAGAATCTTTTAGGTGCTGATGTCTACTTAGTGTGTTCTTTCTTGTGGAACATCTTGCGGTCACAGGCAATGGGTAGATCCCATGCAGCTTGGTTGGTTCACTGTTTGTTAGCCCCTCAATGCATGAACTAAAAGGGGGAAAATTGGCTGCTGATTGTGTGAGAGGAAGAATTGGCTTAATGATGTGCAAATTTATCACACGTACTGTCTATGAGATAGTCATCTGTTTTCCACCTGCCTGCCAAATCCTCTAATTATGATTCTTAATTTCAGAGTAGTCTTGTAGCCCTGAGCTTGAGCAGCATTATCTTAGACTAGCCGACAATGCCAGGTGTGTTTTATTGGTTTGTTTTTTTCCTGCCAAAATCGGGTTGTCTTATAATAACTTCTGTTTTGCATAGGTAAACACGTTCTGGTTTATTTTTCAGGAGACAGCAGCAGAGAAAGAGGAGTCCAGCCCAGATCCGTTGTGGCACAAACTGCGGACTTCAAATGTACAGAGAAGTAAGAAGGAAGTTTTTAAATGTAGACTAGGATTGGAAGGGGAGTAGGATCTGAAGTAGGGCTGAAACTGGCCTTGTTTCTGCTTTTTTTTTTTTTTTTTTAAATAAATAGTTATCCACAGTTGTGGATTTAGTAAATTTTTCCAGGCTCTAGTGTTGTTAGGAATTGCTGCTCAAACTGATAACTGTAACTCTTCAAGAAAGCAATTATAAGATGCAAATAAAATCACTCTAGCAAAGGTCATATGGTGAAATCCTGTAAATGCCATACGCAATTTTGTAGAGAAGTTAGCCATAGGTATGTCATTTAATTTAAGGCCGTACTCATGTCTTACCAGTGATCTGGTGATTGTAGCTGTAATGTTGTGGCTTTAAGCTAATCTTACCCTACTGATCAGTCTCAGGACTGTGCTATGACAATGCTCTTTTCAAATGTTAATATAGTTTTTTATTAAAAAGTGGTGGTTCCCAAACCTGTCTCAGACTGCTCTTTTAGCATGCTTGTTTTCTAAACTTCATTCTTTTGGCTTTCTGAAATTCAAAACATTTTCTCCTCTGTAGCAGAAACCCAGGATTACTCCTGCACAGTTCGAAACCCTGGCAAAGAGGAGATGTTCAACATGGATGTTGCCTACTCAGAGCAAGCGGCTGTCCTGCTCAAGGGATCGTTCCTGCCTGAATCTAGGAGGTTAAAGGATGGAAACGCTCTAACTGTAAGCACTGAAGGAGTTTTTCCTATTAGAATTTATTAGCTCCCTTCTTGTGAAGAGGGGTACAAGACATTTGATTCAACTGTATGATCAGCTCTTGGAAATGTCCTCTATGGATAGTGTTGGAACAGGTCTATAGCAGGTCAAAAATACATTACCTTTTTTTTGGACAGGTAATGCAGTTATCCTTGCGGCATTGGGCAAGGATAACAGTTGTGTAGTGAAGGGTCAAAAGAAATAGTAATTGTGTGTGAAAATAGCTATTTTGATTTGAATCTGGGTCGTTTCCACTGAAAAGAGGTGAATAACAAGACTTTCTTACTTGTAATGCTAACAGTTTTCTTCCTTGCAAATGTACTGGACTGCTTCCAAAGTTCAGGTAGATTAGGGTGGGTATCAGGCTGTCTTTAATTTAGATAAATTGGGATCTCCAATACAGTTAAAGAGCAATGCTGAAAAGGGAAAATATTTATTCAGCTGTGGGTTGAGTAGGAATAGGAGTAGTTTAGGGCATTTGTCTGGTGTTGAAAACAAGAGAATGAATAGATGCCTGGTTATGGTAAGGAATGATAAAAATGCAGCAAAACTTGATACCAGTGGGATTAGTAATGATACTTGCACTGAACCGCGTGTGTGTGTGTGTGTTTTCCCTTAGAAATTTAAGATCCCTAAGGGCAGACTAGGAGTGACCAGGATTGGAGATCTGTCTGCTCAGGATATGAAGAAGATCCCCACGCTGGCCCTCATTGAACTAACAGCTCTTTGTGATGTTCTGGGCTTTGAGCTGAAGAGAAACAAGGCAGCAAAACTGAAAACAACAGGTTAACTGTATTTCATCTTGATTTTTTTTTTCTTGTGGGTGCATTTTTTACATTGATCTTCTCATAGATTTGTGTTTGAAATGTTAGAACAGAGAGGGTCTTTGATAAGAAAACTTGTGACAGGTGTTTTTTCCTTGGTCAGAATTTCTCCTGGAAGTCACTGGCTCATAACATTAAGACCTAGCACCACATTTACCTCTGACTGTCAAATGCACTTGTCCTGTTACCTGTTTCTCTCTTTTTCTCCAGTACCTACACTTATAAAATGTGCCCTCTTAGTCTGCAGTGGTGGATATATCCCTGACGTGTATTAATGGAGATACAGACTTACAACATGTTGTTTCTGTTGCAGAGAAAAGACTCTTTGGAGTTCCACTCAACACCCTGTTGGAAAATGACCAAAAACTGCTCCCCAACACCAAGGTCCCTCTGTTACTCCAGGCAGTAAGTTCTATTCTGGTTTCATTCACACCTCTGATCCTCAGAGTCAGGAAGCCTGTGATAAGGAAGGGCTGACTTCTCATCCTTTGTGCCTAAGAGCTTTCTTTTTTTTCCCCTTTTAATAGCTGCTGTCCTGCTTGGAAAAGAGAGGACTTGAAACAGAGGGCATTTTGAGAGTTTCTGGGTCCCAGACCAGAATCAAGGTATGAGCTCTTTAGTAGTGTTCAAAAGTATTGGGGGTGATCAGGGAGCGTGTTGCTGAAGCAAGTATCTGAATAACCTGAATTGTCTCATCTCCCTTCCCAGTACAACTAGAAACGTCCATTGCTGGGAAATCTGGAAATGTCTGCTGTGAGGGTCTCTGTGCTCTTTTGACTTGATGGTTTGCCCTCCTAGTGCTCACCTACAGAATTCCCCTTGTATTTGCTTATTAAAGCATGTAATAATGCCATCTTTTTTATAGAGTCTGGAGCAGAAGCTCGAAAAGGATTTCTATACTGGCCTTTTCTCCTGGGATGAAGTCCACCAGAATGATGTATCTGGGCTACTGAAAAGATTCATAAGAGAGCTGCCGGCCCCACTGCTGACAGCGGAGTACCTCCCTGCTTTTGCTGCTGTACAAAGTGAGTCCCTGCTTTGGCTGTTTCGCATCAGTTTGCTGGTTTGTGCTTTTCTTGCAAAGCTCTGCTGGTCTTGGGCTCTCCTGTCAGGTGTGTTGGGAGCCTGTGGATTCGATGAGAATACAGAGCACGATATGAACTACAGCCAGACTCAGCGCGCTGGGTGCTATATGTACTATTATGTGTCAGCCTGAGAGTCATCGTCACTGGTGCTTGGTTGCATACATCTTCGTGTAGGAACACTGTCCTGGAGTCTTAAATTATGTTGTGTCATTTGAGGCTGCAACGTTGCTACCACGAATTAGGACAACTTGATAAATAATGACATGCAGGCTGAGCTGTGGCAACTGGCCAGGGTGCCCAGTCTTGGCTTGTCTGCAGGTAATGCAATGTTCTGCAAGCGCCTTATTTTGAGGTTTGTGCCTCAATAGAGGCTTCAGTGTGTTAAGCTAACTGTTTAAGTGCACAACTTTTTTGATACAAGAAACGGGGAATAATGGGATCTTTTGATGCCCTTCAAGGGCATCAGACTTGCTGGTAGACTCTGTATTCTGAAACAAATCAGCCAGTCTTCTAAAACATAGGTAGTTCACTTCATAAGGGCTGTATGAGCTTGATTTAGTTCTGTAAAACAAGGTCTCAAATCCTAGATGACAAACACTACAATAAGTAATTACCTTATTCCTTGGGGGATTCCCATGCTCAAAAAGAACAGTGTCAGGAGCCTGAATCCTTTGTCCTGTTGTCGCTCTCCCTCTCTAGATATTCCAGACCTGAAGCAAAGATTGCAAGCTCTAAACCTCCTGATCCTGATTCTGCCAGAGCCCAACAGAAACACTCTAAAGGTAACTACCTATTCTGGATTTAACTGGAAAAACATGATCTCATTCCAGGTTTTTATTCAAGGAACTCTGTCAGCTTTTGTAAATAACATACATCACACTATTTGGTTTTATTTCACTGACTGGAGAATGGAAAACCATGATGGGAGGAGCGGGCAAACCTCAAGGCTGTGTAGTGATGTAAGCTGTAAGCACAGTCTGCCTTTTGGGTACAAACTTAAGAGCAGTAGGAATCCGTGTGGTCTTGGAGCATCCTGTTTAGAAACATGCTCTTCCTTTTCAGTGTGTTAAAGCACTTCACTGTGGAGTGAAAGATGTATAGGTCTTACGTTGTCTGTGGGCATGCTAAGATATAGTGAAAGAAAGTCAATCTTTTCATTCGTGGTTTGTGGTATTGTCACCATCTATGAAGGATAGTTTCAATTAAAAAAAAAAGCTACTAAGCTTATAACTTCCTACCCTTTTCTGATCCGAAAACATTTCAAATCCTTTCACCTACTACTTTTTGAAAGAATAAATGCTGATGGGATCAGCTTTGCAGGCAGTGCACACCCTCTGCCTTTCTGTGCTTTATAAGAACTGTGGTGGTTGTTGCTGCTGGTTTGTTTTGTTTTGTTTTTTTTCTCCTGAGTAGTTCAGCTTCCAGGTAATAAAGGCAAGGCTGACTTAGATGATCTGCCATGTGTCATGGCTTTGGTAGAGGTGTGAGGCAGAAGAGATGATCCAAAAGGGTTTATTTTTCCACATCTGGGAATAGCTTTGAAGGGGATACTGGGGGAAGGGGGGGTCATCTTTGGATTCTGTAACTTTTTACGACTGGACTTTGTAAATTGCCACCTGCCGAGGAGTAAGAGCTCATCTACTTCCCACAGACTGTCTCTCCTGATTCATGAATGCTGGACAAACTCTCTCCCTGCTTGGTATGGTTATTTGTTGCTGTCCTAGTATTAGAAATTGCTCACTGAACTTCCTGACTGGAGAAATAGGATTTGTTCATAGATATCAAGAAAAAATGCTAATTAAATGATCTCTCCAGCAATTGCCACAGTAGTTTCTTGAGGGCTGTTAGTAATAGATGTCTTAAGTCTCTTCCCCTCTCTTTAGGCTCTACTTGAATTTCTCAGCAAAGTGGTTGCCAGGGAGAACAACAACAAAATGAACCTCTGGAACGTTTCCACGGTCATGGCCCCAAACCTCTTCATGCACAAGGGGCTGCCAAACAAGATCCCCGAAGGGAAGGAGAAACAGCTGGCAGAGGGGGCAGCTGACGTTGTGCGGATGATGATCCATTACCAGGATTTGCTCTGGACAGTAAGTTGCACAGGTGTCTTGTGGTATGGCGTAGCAGTGTCTTGGTCTGCCTAGAATTGGAATAAGGGAAGGGATAGTCTTGGAAATTTCAGAGGAGTTTTGTCTGTAGGCAAAACTTCTGGCTGAGTTCTAAGACTCTTCTTTTCAAGGTATATGGATGTTTTGTCTATTTAAGGAGCTTCATAAAGTGATGTTTAGGTTCTTAAATGGTGTCCTCATGTCTACTTGATTTAATTCCTATCTTCTTCCTTCTTCCCTTCCCAGGTCTCCTCTTTTCTGGTAGCTCAAGTGAGAAAGCTGAATGAGAGCAATAGCAAAAAGTACCAGTTTTGTGACAAGCGAATTAAAAATTTGTTGCGGAAGATTCATGCTGATAAAGACAAGGTGGAAAAGAACCAGGCAGAGGTGAGTTAGGATTTGGAAAAACCGGGCCCTTTCGTAACAGTGTCAAATACTTTGTCATTGTAAGTGCTTTCATGGAAACTTGGAGAACTGTGAGGAGTGATGCTCTTTACAGAGCAAGAGGGAGAAAAATCTGCAAAACCAGAAGAAACAGCTTCCCAGACCCTTTTGGCCAGGTTGTGGCAAACACCAATCCCAACAGCAAGCGTACTAAATATATTTCAGGCTACAAAACACTTGGTTAAGATGCTGCATTGTTGCAGGAGAAGGGGAAAGAGACCAGAAGCAGAAATGTTGGTCTCCACCTCATGTGAAGAGCAGAGTTCGCATGGCTCTAGATGCCCCATGTGTTTAGACAGATATGTCTGCCATGATAAAGGCAGACTTATTTTCATGAACTTAAAGCAAAAATTTAGGCTATTACAGTAGTGTAAAAGTACATTTTTGTATCTCATTTTCTTTTTGCTCCATAATGCTGCTGATCTGCATGGGAGGGCTTGAGGATGAGGTTCTTGCTACTTAAAAGGAGAGAATTAACTTCTCTGATAAATGAAATGGCTCTACTCCTTCTTGTGTTGGTGCAGACTGAGATTTTTTTTTAACAGATGCTAGTATCAGATCTATTTGTGTATTAAAGTTGGGAAAAGATCCTTGGAGTCATTCTGCCTTTTTTTGGTTGCCACTGTTAGTTGAATAAGTGTAGGTCCGTGGCAGCCAAGTTACATCGTGCAGTGCTGGCTTTTAAGTATTGCATAGCAGTGGTGGTGCAACTGGGATGCTCTAAGGACACGAGATGGGTGGAGTCTGCAGGTAGAAATAATACGTTGAAAGCTTAAATCTGCAGAACTGAAGAAGAGTTTGTGTTCTCATAATCCTGTACATCCCCTGCCTTTCTATACGAGTTGGGATACTGAGATGACGTCTGCCTAGAATTTGGCTCGTTAGGGCTGCGTGTCACTGTTGAAGATGCTCTCACTTCAGAGAGGGCATCTACTGTGTAGGCAGTCAAACAGATGACCCCGTGCTTAGAACAGTGCTAATACTACTTCCTAACGGTCTCGGTGTTCAGCGCTGTTTTTGCAAAAGATTTGGGATTGCAAAATTAACTTGCTGCAGATCAGACCCCGTTAGAACAGTTCAACATCCTCCACAAAAGTTCTGAGAAGTTACTTCATGAAGGAGTTGATGAAAACAATCTTGAGAAAATAGCACTTGAACTCTGCTCTGTGATGTCTCAGTGCTTCCTTTTTTTGAAACTACCTTTCTGAAACTCAATAGTCTGCAATTCAACTGTCTAAACTCCTTTTCCAGTAGTTTAATTCCAGAGAAGTCTATCAGACTTGGGCAAAACAGTTTGTCAAAATTTATTCTGACAAATCCTATTTTCATCAAAGCTTGTGTCGCTTCTAGTGCCGGTGCTGTATTTGAACAGCAGAGAGCACCAGCGCACGCTGATGGAGAGCGGTGCTTTTCCCCCCAGCCACAACGCCAAAGCGCAGATGACTTGTTTATAATGTTCACCTTGATGCTTCTGTAAGCTTCCAGTCTGTAGGATGTGTAGGACAGAAACAAACCTAAATTCTCTGAACAGCTGGCTGGATAGGTTTATTTCTTCACACTCTCCGATCTGTTTTGAAATGTGATGTTTTAGCAGATAACAAAATCTTTCTTTAAGCACTTTCTTCTTTTTGCCTGCCTCGTTCAGCCTTCCAAGATTGTGAAAGTCCATGCTTCGCTTCTCCTGAAGGAATCGCTAGAGGTGCATTTGAACAATGCAACCAGAGTTGCTGATGTCTTGAGGCAGTTTCAAAAGAACCTGTGCCAGAATGGCTGGAACATTGTTAACACCGTCAACCTCCTCAAGTGGTAAATGGCTTTTTTGTGTGTGTGTGGGGGGGGGGGGGTGGGCGGGGAAAGAAAAAAAAGTACCGGGTGGTCTGGTTGCTGTTTTCTGTCTTCTGGCAGAGCTGATGTGGTGGCACAGTGAGCTCTTAGGAGATGTTTCTCTGGTCCTCTATTCTAAGTTTTGGAAATAGTGTGTTGGATGGGGCAAGCAAATGTTAGTTCAACTGAGTGATTCCATCACTCTGCTCAGGAGGTCAGGTAGTCCCCTTGGGTTTGCTGGATGATACGTGAACTTCAGCAGCCTTGCTGGAGGGAAGGGAAAGCGGAATAACATTGACCCTGCAAAACAAGCCCTCTCTAGCTCTCCTGGAGAAAAACGTCACCTGTGCAAATTACTTGCCTGGAGTAGTATTTCCAACATGCATATGTTAATGTAGGGGCTTCCTAAAGTAAGCTCTGCAATTCCCTCCTATGGTCCAGTGGTGAATTGCTGAAATAACCCAAAAAATGAGCAAAAGGATTCCCGCCCCCCTCTGTCACCATGCCTGCAGACTGTATTTAGTAGGTAAAGTGTTAGTGCGTCTCCTGACCGTGTCCCTGGGCAGGAGATGTCTAGTCAAGGAGGGTGGATGGGAAGTTGGCTGGATACGGGTCAGCTGGGAACCAGTATCTCACTAACAAGCTACTACAGCTGCTGAAGTCTTCCTGCAGATGAGCTTCTCTTGGACAGGCCATCAGTTCTAGAGGAACACTGCCAATGAACTTTGGTATTTATGCCTGTTGTTTTTCTATTGAAAAGTTAGTGTTTGCATGTAGCGTGTGTCTCGCTACCAGTGAGGAATGTCTACCTTGTATTCTTTTTTCCAATTTTGGGTGTTCTTT